ATTTATTTTATTTTTTTTAATCGAAAAATTTTTATAAATAAATTTTTATAATTTTATTTTAATTGATTACAAAAAAAAAATGTATATTTATTTGCTCATCCGATTTATTTAGTTACTTTGTCGAAATAGTCGCGCAAAAATGACAACAAACTTAAAAAAAAATATTTTAATTTTGCCCAAAAGTGGGTTATCTATCCGATTAACAATTAGAAATCGAGAATCAACATTGAATTTATCTTCAAAAGATCACACCGAATTCACATTGGTTATAGGTAAGATTATTTATTTATTTTTTAAAATTTGCTCAATAATATTTTGTAAAAAAATTTATCGTAATATAAAAATATAACGGTTAAATGTTTGACCAACAGTAATGGCCAATAATAAAGTAATAGAATCAAATTAATCGATTTATTCTTAACTTTAATTATTAACTTCGTTAATAATTGCAAATTTGATTTAAACAATCATTGATAAATAATGAAATTACTTGAATTCATTAATTATTATTGTTATAATTCATATAAATATTTGTATTGCTAAGACGTTAAGAACTTAATTTTCTACTATACTAATTTTTTTATAATTATTGTTTTTTTTTTCATATACTAATTTTTTTCTTCGAATCATTAAGTTTTAGCTACAAAAAATTAGAAAGATGGTTATCATTAGACATGATAGCAGTGATGATGAATCTTTAAATCAACAACAAAACAGACGACAAATTCCTTGGCGTCATCGTAATGGGCATGCAAATGGCCAACAAAATGGAAATGATCTAGAAGAAAACAGAGGCCAAATTCCTTGGCGTCATCGTAATGGTCATGCAAATGACCAACATGAAGTCCCATTTGATGGGCTTTTGGATGAAAACAATAATCGAATAGAAATGCCCGAAAATAATGATTTGGCTAATGATCTTCTTGAAGAAGATATTATTAACCAATATCAAAGACGTAATCCACGTCGCGGTGCTAATATTCAACAGATGAACGACGATCTCGAAGAATTTCGTCGCCAACATTTCATTCAACAGAACCAGAATGAAAATCATGATTGAATAAAAAAAATCATCCATTTTATTTTTTTTTAAATAAATTTTTAAAAAATTTTTCAATTTCATGAAAATTCTATTTTTTCTTTTAAAAAATATTGACATACATGATTGAAAAATGACCTGTAAAAGACAAAAATTAATCCATCATCATGAAGAAAACAAAGGCAAAATAGTTTGGCTGTTTCAAAATGGTCATGCAAATGACGAAATAACGATGATGGTAGCAATACAGCCCGATAATAATGAGCGATAATAAGATAAGTTGCGCAAGCAACTAGAGAAATTGACAGATATCAACGGCGTTGTCCACGACGTCAAATTGCTATCGAATAAATCAATAATGATTTAGAAGAATTCCGAAAATTGAATTCCAGTCGAACAAAGGGAACCGGTTGGATAAATAATTCAAAATTCAAAATTTATTTAACCGTCCGTTTTATTTAATAAATTGATATCGACAAATTAAATAATGTTTTAGAACAATTTTGAAGGCAAATTAATAATGATAATGACAACGGGCTTGAAATATAAAATGAACCCGAAAATAATGATTCGATTGTTGATGAAGAACTGATCAACCGATATCAACGACGTCATCTACGTCGACGAAATGATATCGAACAATTGAATCGTGATTTAGAGGAATTCAGGAGATTGAATTTTATCGATCCCGTCCCAAATAAAAAAAGAGAACAAGCCCGGCTGAATAAATGAAATAATAATTTTAAAAATTTATCATCATTTCTGTGATATAATTCTAATCCTACTTATTCATCTGAAAAAAAGTTCAAAAATGTTTTTAGATTTAATAAAATTGGTGAAACATTGTTTCAAACTATACTGTAATGTAATCACTTGAATTAATTTATAATTATTGTTATAATTCATATAAATATTGGCATACTATGCTGTTTAAAAAGCGTCTAAAACTAAAAACCTTTATTTTTACTAAAACTACAACTATCGAATCAATCTAAAATCTCATAATTTAAAAATTCTTTTGAAATTTTTTCATTAAAAATTCATCTTATTCAAAAATGGGAATTTACAGATGTAATCCCGACGAAAATGTTGGAAGTAATGAAATGGAACGACAGGAAGAACAAGATGAAATACAATTTCAACTTGAAGTTGCTGCGTTCCAATTACAACGCCAACACCGTGAGAATCAACGGCAACAACAGATTGACCGTATGAACGGTCAAATTCAACAAATACGCCAACAACAGCCAAACCGGATTATTCCAGTTGATGCTGTTGATCAAATTGCTGATCCAAATAACAATGTTGATCCAAATACTAATAATCAACAATTTCGTAATAATACACCGAATAGCAATAATCAGCAAAATAATAATAACAATCAAAATTGAATATATCAATTTCAAAATGTTGAATAAATTTTTTAAAAACGTTTTTTTATTTGAAATAAAAATATATTTTTCTGTCAAATTTAATTAAAACAACTATTGATTAATAATGAAATTACTTAATTATTATTGTTATTGTTATTTGTCACGTTTGTTACGAGAGGGTAACAACGTGCTTTACTAAAAAATAATTGACGGTTATATTCGGTGTGCTGTTGTGTGTTTTTTGATGAATAAATTCTAAAACCTGTTGTATTTAAATAAAGATTTCTCGTTTTACCATTCTTAACGTGACAAACTAGCCAACAGGATTAGTTCTTGTTCTAAATGGAAGAGCTTAAGACCTGTCGGAAGATGTTGCGAGCGAAGGTAACGTTGAAACTTGGTGACGCTAAAATTTCAACAAATTCATAATACAATAAAAAATTCGAAATTAAAATGGTTGAACTCAAACCGGAAGATAACATTAATGAAGATGTGGACGAAGTAAATGTTGGCCAAATAGCTTGGATTTTTCGAAATGGTCATTCAATTTTCGAATAGAAGAAGAACAAATACAACAATATCAACGACGTCGTCCACGTCGACAAATTGATATTGACCAAATAAACAATGATTTGGAACAATTTCGAAGACAAATCAATGACAATGGGCTCGAAATTCAAAATGAACACATGAATAATGATATGATTAATGATGAAGAAGAAGAAATGATCAACAGATATCAGCGACGTCGTCCACGTCGTCAAAATGATATCGAACAATTAAATCTGGATTTAGAAGAATTCCGGAGATTGAATTTGTGTGTTTTTACAATACACTATTCAATTTCTGTAAAAACACATATGGAATCAATACACAAAAGCGTAAAAATCTGTATTTGACCAACACTCACATACGGATCAGAAATTTGGATAGATTAAACAACAAAAAAAAACAAATTATCAAGTTGAAATCTACACAATATCAAATCTTAAGAAATATGGTTTTATTATGGCTTTCAAACAATGTCTCCAAAGCATGTTATTAATATTATTTTTTCACTATATGTCCCTTTTTTGTTGAAAGTATTAGACATCTTATTTATTAGAAAATTGTTTGTGCTATTGTACGAAACTCTTATCTTGATAATTAAAAGAACCCGATTAATCGATAATTCAATTATTTCAATTAATTAATTAAAATTTTGCTATAATTCATATAAATATCAACAAAATATGCTGAATATTAATCATTAAAAACTTTATTTACTATATCAAAAAAAAAAACTTTAATCGAATCAAAATTTAAAAATTTGAGAAAAATTGTCAATTTTATTATCTATTTTATCATAAACAATAACAACAATAATTAAAAAAATGTGCATTAACAAAAAAGATCCTTATTACTACTTCAATAATCGCGAGCGTCAAGCGATTATTCAACAAGTTGAACTGGCGTTCAATGCAGATGTTCAACTAATACAGCTGGAAGAACCAGAATTCGAGGAAAATTTCGCTCATCGTCATCGTGAGCGAGAAGAACGCCGGAATGCTGTCGATCGTGAAAACGAAGTAATATTTCGCTTGCAGCGACAACAACCGAATCGACAGCTGCCAATTGACGAAATTTTCGACATTGATGTCGAAAATATCCCAAATGCTAACCAAACCGAACAAACTACTATAAGTGAAGCAGAAGTTGATGCTTATTGGATGCGACGTATTCGCCATTATCAGCAGCGTCAACGAGAAATTGATGAATATAATAATCATCTTCAACCTCGACCTAATCAACCGATCCCATTCGAAGTGATCGATTCTTTGGATGTTGATGAGAATAATAATGTAACAGATTAAGTGAATTATGCATGATAAAACAATGAGGTTGACAATTGAAGATTTAGTTTTTTATGTTATTTATTAAAATTTTTATTTTTATTAAGAATTTTTTTCCTCTACAAAATCATTTGTAAAATAATGACAAAATTCACTACAATTGTACTACAATGAGACAAAGATCACACGTGTTTAGAACAATGCAAACACTCAAAATCATCACATAAACAACTCTACATTGAGGAATACACAATCGGGATAGATTATCGTTAAGAAAATACTATAAATTGTTATGTTTAACAAACGATTTGGGCATCTTTTTACGCATTTGTTGTAATTTTTGTCCATAGTTCGTCGAACTGAATAGCCGATACCTCGATTCGCGATAATGCATCAGCATCACAATTTTCTACTTCTCGGACATGTTGAACTTCGAATTGATACTCGGCCAAATCGATCGCCATCCTGGATAATTTGTTGTTTCGATTCAAAAAATTAAATCTATTTACTTCGTAAAGATCCATTTTTTATTTGGATGTAAAAGGATTTAAAAAATATATAACAATATAAATCTTTAGCAATTACAACTTCTTCATCGTGAGCGACAACAACGACAACACGATATCGATCGTGAAAATGTCGAAATAGAAAGATTGCAGCGACAATTTCCTGATCAACCGCTGTCAATCGATATTATTTTTGATATCAATGTTAATAATAATGATCAAAATAACCAGGGTAATGATCAAAATAATGATCAAAATCCCATTGATGATGAAATTGATGAATATTGGAGACGTCGTAATCTCCGATACCAAGAACAACAACAAGCAATTGATGCATTTAATGCACAACTGCAACAACAAGGGAATCAAGAGATTCCATTTGAAATGATCGATGAACAGATTCCAGAAGTGGATGAAAATAATAATAATATATATTGACGGATATTTACATATAATAAACAATAAAGTTTTCAATATTTTGATCAAAATCTTTTTGCAATTTTTTTTTCAATAAGAAAATGTACATATTCCGTGCGAATAAATAACAACTAAATAATGTCCGTTTATCAACGATTCACAGCTATGCGCCTCTACGAGGCTTTCGATCCCTTGTTGACTTACTTCCGTCAACAAGATTCCCGTTCCCCTCCCCCCGCCAATATAATCTACGGCTTGACCACTGTCGAGCTTTCTTTCGCATATCTGTTGGGCTTTGAGATCGACGATTTCGTTCGTCCCAACAATGCACTTATCTCAACGCCAACATTGTCATCGTTGGCCCGTTTCATCGATCGGTTCCCTTCCGCCGATATTGAAATCGTGATGGATTTACTCCTTCGTCCGTCGGCTATGCCGATAACCTTGCGACTTCAGTCGCTTTGTACCGTGACCGGGTACAATATTGTTCTGGCTCAGAACAATGTTGTTAAAATGACCATCCCCGGTTCTATTCATCGCGTTACTATCGGTTTCTTGGTTACCACCGAATATGGCCGCATCGTCAACATCAACGTTTTTGTGCCTAACCGTTTCAATCCACGTCGTATTATTGCTACCGTTGTTGATGATAGATATTTGAACGAAATGTTTCAGTTGGTCGGCGACTTGCTCCCGACGAACTATAGCGTTTTGAATTCGAACAAAATAACCGTGC